GAGCACAACTTAGTGAACATCCAGAAGACCCACGAGCGGATGCAGACAGAGAACAAGAGTGAGTAGCTGGGCTCTGGAGAGAAAGGGGATGAGGAGTGGATGTGGGTCAAGATTGCTGTCTTCTGAAAAGAACCTTTGCATGTATTTGCAGTCATCCAAGCTGCTCCTTAGGCCAGAGGGACAGTTGTGACCTAGGAGACAGACACCAGACTGCCTAGCCCTAAGGAACCTTAAAATCCCCCAACTCTAGGGACTAGAAGCCAGTGAAATGAGGCTACATCTAGGGAAACACCTTAAACGGCACAAGCACCCCGGTTAGCTGGTGTTTTCTAAGGAGCTTCCCTCCCAGTGCACCGAGGGCCCCAGCTGGCCAGGCTACAGGCCTTGCGCTTTCCGGCTCTAAGCAGCTTGAGACTGCTTTCTGCTCTCCATGTGCTGAGAAGTACTTCCTGTGTGCATCATGCTATGGCAAAGGAAGGAAGTCCTCCCTTGGGTGCAGTGATGGCATTTGTACCGTATGGAAAAGTGAGCGCGCTGTGCGTGGGGTGCAGGTGCCCGGGGAGCACTCTGAGCCAGTGGAGCTCGTGCCTCCCAAGGCCTGGTTCCGATATACTGGGAGCAGAGCCACACGGCTGCCAGCTGCCCCTCGCCCACTCCTGTCTCCCTGTGCTTACTCTGCAGTCTCTCCCTATTACCGGACAAAGCTGCGTGGCCTTTATACAACCGCCAAAGCCGACGCAGAGGCCGAGTGCAAGTGAGTGCCAGCCCACTGCCTGCCATCGCCTCCTGCCTCGCCCAGGTGCTGGGCTGCAGGAACCTGTGGACCACGGCCCAGGCTGCCGTCCTGGCATGGAGGAGCCTCTCCCTTAGGGCCGCCTTCCCTAGAGCCCACTTCTAAACTGCTCCCCCCTCCCTAGCAGCAGGGCAGGGGTCAGGTGCCCGCACTGCCATTTGCCTGTCACGTGACCTTGGGCAGTCACTTCAGCTGGGACTCACTTGCTCCATCATTAAAATAGGAATAATAACTACCTATAGCAGTGATGGCGAACCTTTTGAGCTCGGCGTGTCAGCATTTTGAAAAACCCTAACTTAACTCTGGTGCCGTGACACATAGAAATTTTTTATATTTGCAACCATAGTAAAACAAAGACTTATATTTTTGATATTTATTTTATATATTTAAATGCCATTTAACAAAGAAAGATCAATGAAAAAAATGAGTTTGTGTGTCACCTCTGACACACGTGTCATAGGTTCGCCATCACTGACCTATAGAATTGTCAACATAAATGAGATAATTAATGCATATTAAAAG